CCCCCCCCCCCCCCCCCCCCCCCCACACACACCAGCGCTGGACGATACTAGGCTAACCCTGCCCGAAGGGAAATGAGCTTCCTTCGCCCCCCCCCCCCCCCAATGTTTTCTCTTTCCTTATTTTCCCCAGCCTGGGCTCCAGTTGCTGAGACCGAAGGGCCCGTCTCCCCATCCCCAAGAAAGTCTCCGGAGAAGCAGAAGACGGAGACGCGGGAGAGAAATGGGCTAAGATTTGGAGACGGGGCGGGGGAGGTGCCTGGTTTTAAGGCAGAAATCTTCCCTGGGGCGGTTGTTGGAAGGGGGCCAAAGCCGACAGAATATGCCCCCCCCCTGCACGGATCTGGCGTTTCCTGCGCCGTTGAAGAGAGGGAAAGGGCCTTCTGAAAAAAGCCACCTGAAAAGTCGGAGAAACTGAGCCGGCTGCAGCTCCTGCGCCTGGTGTTTTGCAATCGACTGGCTCATTCCAGAGAGGCTGCACTGCGAGCATCGGAGACCCCAACCGCCTGCGGCGATAACCTCCCGGGCGCTCGAGGGGTGGTGAGGCGGAGCAGCACCCAATTAGTCGGAGTGGAGAAGACGGAGGGCTTCGACGGAGGAGTTTGGAAGGAGCCCAGCGGGCGTCGATGCAATCAAGGGCAACGACGCCTGTTTAATACAAACAGAATTAATGCTGGTTAATTAAAATATATTAGGGTAGGCTGTGCAGAGCGTCCCCGAAATTAAAGGTAAAAGTGCCACTGATTTGTCAATTGAAAACAAGGTCCGTGTTGGAGGGTTCGGACTGTCTCCAGGTGGGGTTTTCTGTGATTGTTGTTGCTGTTCCCCGCAGAGAATCACTTTCGCTCCCGTGTCTGTCTGTGTGTGTGTGTTCGGAAAAAGAGGATCCAAGGAACCTATTCCTGAAAGGGCTTCGGTCTTCAGCCCCTTTCTGCCGGGGAGCACTGGGGAGCCAGGCCCCTGCCGCCCTAGACTTGCTGAGAACTTCCTTCGGAGGCGACCTTTGAGCAGGGAGGCTGCCTGTAAATTGTCCCAGGATTTAAGCCGCAGCCTTCCGCTTCAAACCAAGCCTGCGTTGGAGTGAGCGTCTCTGCAAAGGAGGAAATTTACGTCAGGGGAGACCCGGTGGGACCATTCGGTGAGGTTTTGCAAGAAACTGGGCCTGCTCCGCTGCAAGCCAAAAATCAACTCTCATCTATTTGGTTATCTGGGAAATTTAATTAATAGCGTTCCAAATTGGGAGTTTTTAAAATATTATGTTACAGGGACACAAAGAGTTTTGGGAATTATCTTGCTGTATGTTTCTATTTAAAAAAAATTAAAATAGGACATTAATTCGGTGTGGTTACCGGGCCCACGGAAAATGAGATGATTATTTTTTTTTAAGTGGGAGAAGGCCCCTCCACAATATTTGGAAATAAATGTGTGTTTTAATTTCATGCACTTCCCACTACATATACTTTAAAGTTCCATCCTACCTTTTCCTGGGAGAAATAAACTTTTAAGGAAGCTCGTGCTCAGACTCAAAATGTTTCTTTCCTCGAATCGCAACTGTTAAAACAGTTAAAATCGCAACTGTTAAAACAGTCTTCCAGCATTTGAGCTGGATCGACGGGGGGCGGGGAAGGCTTCGAATCCTAATTAGCTACAGATCTTTTATTCGGATCGAAAAGTCCCATTCGGCCCACCATGACTTTCTTTCGAGTAAAACTAATCGAAGCGAAGATTGTTGGAGGGGGGGAGGCGGGAAGGTCTCCCCCATAACCTCAGACCGAAATTACCTCGGTTTAAGTAGAGTTTTGCAATGGTTTTAAGAGCACCGCCCGGACTGCGTTGTCCTCCTCGGAAGGAAAGGAAAGGCAAGTCGAGGCGGGCTGGCGGGGAGGGGAGGATCCGAAGCAGCCCGAGTCGAGAAGGCGAGCCGGAGATTTGCATAAGGAAATGGCCCGGTTTGTCGGAGGTGACACCCAACACCAGGGGCTGGCACCGTTGCATGTCCGATTTGCTCTCTCTCCTCCCCCACACTTTCGCCCACAACTGGGGAAAGTCTGCCGAGGGACAGGGGGCGGGGCGAGGAGGAGGAGGGGGGGGAGTCGAGTGCTCTCCTCCGGAGCCTTTGTGTGCAATCCGAATTCCCATGCTACCCTTTTTGACGGGTCACTGGTGACCCAATAGGCAGGTGGCAAGGAAGGCGTGTAATTAGAGCGCTTGAGAAGCCAAGCTTGGCTTGGCCCGACTTCCCTGGACAACGCCTACTTCCAGCCACCCCTCCCTCTTTACCACAGGGCACAACTTTACCCGCAAGGCGGGAGAGGGCTACCGATTCCCCTCCCCCAGGACTCCCCCCCGCTTGGCTGGCCCAACCCCGATCTCCGCCACCTCCTCTTTTCTGACTCTTCCCCTCCCACCCTCCGCCCCCGCCCAGGCGCACCACCTAATCCCATTCCTCCACTCCGGGTTGTTGCAAAGAGCAGCTGTCGAGTTACATTTGGGGGAGAAGCCGGCGGCTTACGTTGATTGGAGGCAGTCAGATGAGTTTCCATTGATGGGGGGGATCATTAACTTCACACTTTATCTAATGTCCTCATTGTCTGCTAGGGAGGCCTCGTTTCAGAGCCTGGTTCGGCTTCTCCGAGTCTCTCCCGAGAGTCGGATTTTTAACCTTGCCCTTCCCACTCCCTCCGGGTGGCTTGCCCAGAGACCCCCCCCCCTCGGCTCAAGAAGCGTCACTGACCGAATAGGCTCCGGAAAAGTTTAGATTCTTTCCTGCCTCCCTTCGGATCCCGGTCAATGTACACAGTATACCACAGAAGTGAGTACACCCCCTCACATTTTGTAAATATTTAAGTATATATTTTCATGTAACAGCACTGAAGAAATGATACTTGGCTACAATGTAAAATAGTGAGTATACAGCTTGAATAACAATGTAAATGTGCTGTCTCCTCAAGATAATGCAACACACGCTGCTTTACAAACTGTATACTCAATACTTTACATTGTAGCCAAGTGTCATTTCTTCAGTGTTGTCACATGAAAAGATATACTTAAATATTTACAAAATGCTAGGGGGTGTACTCAACTCTGTGGTATATCGTATATATAGGAGGACGAGAAGAAGGGGTCTCCCAAGTCACCTTCAAGCGTGGTGTTCAAACGCTTTCCATGCCTGGGTTCCCACTTGGCACTAAGCCACAATGTGGTTACTTTAGTTTTGGTGTTCAGTGTTGTGGGGATTCCTTAAGTTGTGGTTTACCAACTTGGGTATATAGCTCAGGGAAATCACTGGGCCCATTCCCTTGTGACTTCTTTGGCAATCTTGTTAAACATCATCAGCCTCTTGCAATCTCAATTCCAAGAAGGTGGGTTGGTTTCACAAAGCAAATGTGCTTAGCAGGCCAGTTCAGAGGATGCTTTATCCTCTAAACATACAGTATAAAGGGTTCTTTCAACTGACTGTAGTCATAGCATTCTCTATGCAAGTCAACTTTTTGTGCAATATGGGACTGAGCTCTAGGTATTCCTGGGCAGGATCTGATGGATACGGTTGGCTGGTGCATGCCTACTTTGAAATACAGTAAGTGTGCCCCCTTATCTGCATCGGTCTTGGAGCTGCCAATGTTTTCAACAATATGCTGCCAGATCTTCCACTTGTCCACCAGTTTCATTGCAGGCACTTTGGCCAGGTTGTGAGCAAAGCACGTTCATCCCTGCATTTCATCTCTAAAAAGTTGCAAGGAGTTCCGATAGAACTGATATCAAGGAAGGACTGGAATTGGGGGCATTTTAGTCACATTGAAGTCCAAGAACTTGGCCTTCCCTCAACTCTATGGAAAAGATGATGGCCTGCACACTGCTTGCTTAAAGAGGAGTATTGGCTAAGGCGATCCTTGGTAGTGATCAAGATTTTTAGGCATCTGCTGTCAGCTAGCAGGAATCCACATGGCAGATGAAAGCAGGCAGGGCAGAAGGGAAAGATTAATCCATATTTGAGCAACTCCTGAAACTCCAATGGCCACCAATGGATGATAATTCCCATCCCATTCCCTCCAAATAGCATGGCCCTTGGTGGATGAGAAGTGAGGGCCTTCAGTTGGGAAAAAGCAGATTCTAGATTAGTTAGAAACTGTCTCTTTAGAGCAAAGTAATGAAACCCTATTATCAAAATTATCTTTGGAGTTAAGAGACAATAGAAGAACCATTGTCATGTTTAGGGTGAAGGTTGGGAAAAACTCTGGGGAGAAAAGGAAGAAGGGATTAGAAACAGTCCCAGCCATTTGGTTTTCAGCTGACTAATCTCAGCATCAAATAGAATAAATGAGAAATGTTAGGGAGCTGGACCCATCAAATATGACATGTCCCCCCCCCCTTGTAAGTTTAAGTGATAAAAGCCATTTGTACTTACTGAAACTTTCTGGCAGGATGTCCTCAGTAAGAAAGGGGTATGCCAGAACTCTGAATTTTGGGGGGAATGTGGTATGAAAACAAAATACGACTCCCAAGAGTACAGTGTGGTAATGGTATGAAGGTAGAAATTGGATAAATGCTACCAGGCAGCCGAAGGGGCAAATAGGAGAAGAAAAAACATTGCTCCTTTGATAGAACCCAACCTACCCAACCACTTGTTAGCCTAAGGTGTGGGGGAAAGCCATCCCAAGTAGTTAGGTTTAGAGTTCATTATGGGTGGCAAGACAAACGATGCACTGCATGAACCAAAAGAGGATGTATTCATGACAAATAATCTGGCACTTGGTAGCAAATCTCACGCCTTAGCTCCTCTTCTCTGACAAGCAAGCTGCAAACATAATGAATAACTCTGGCTTTTTCAGGAGAAGAAACACCTGCTAAGGCTAAAGCATCTATCTCGTTTTGCCTAAGGGTAGGACCAGCCTTTTTGGAGGAAGCCAATTGCTACTCTGCTAGAAGTATTTAAGCAGAATCCAAGTGCTATCTGTCTTGGATGCAGCATTTATTTCTACGGTCAAGATCAGATTAGCTAATGTGAAGACTTATGACACTGCTGAAAGGATGGTTCATATTTGCTCAGAAATAATGTACATAAATTGCAGCTTTTTCCAACAAATAAAGCATCATGATGTTTAACCAAACAACACATGTGTCTAGGAATACTGTACAAGGGATTGTATTATATATTTATATTTTCATTTTCACAAGAAATACTTTTTAGATTAGTAATTATATTTTCCATTTATAGATGAAGGTCATGTTCTTAAGAAAGTCTACTTAAAAATCTGGAATCAGTAGTTAAACTGGGCCACACAGACAAATGTTTATACAATTGTTGTGTGCTAATAGTTTTGGAGAAATGCATCTTCAAATCACTACTCACTCAAAAGCTTTTCTTGAGTAAATCAATTTCTTTATTTGTCCTTAGCCTAACTCTGGATATTTAGGGGTTAATAATGAAAGGCAAAAGGAGGAAGTATACATACCTCCTTAATTGATTGGAAATTAACTCAAGGTGGAGTATCTGTGGAGTCTCAGCATAGGTTTAGCGTCTGGTTGATTTAGTTTAGTTATGAAAGTTAAGACTGAGTTTGATTAATATTTGGATGGAAGCCTAATGGGGAATCTCAGGTCTAGTAGTTAAGATTGGGAAATGGGGGGGGGGGGATCCACAAAATGTACCAGTAACAAAGTACTCCTGTATTGGGACCAAGAATGATGCATTAATGATGTAAGAAACAAGACCATGGGAAGACACTGCCAGTCAAACTCACCTTGGAAGAGTCTTTTATATTATCAAGGTAACCGTCTTCCCAATCTATTACCCTCCCAGCCTGTTGATTTTAATGCTGATCTCATCCGCTCCTTGAATAAGAATGACAGGTAGCCTAACAAAATTGGAGGTGGAAGATTAAGGAAACCTGCTTTAAACCTATTGTATGTTCTTTGCATTAAGTGGGACCATGTCCTCTTCTCATTCACATCTGCTTTAAAGAAATGTATATTTCTGTGGATTCCTTGGGTTGGTTCAATTAGCAAAATGACCCATTTCTCTCAAACTCTACGACTATCATGACTCATGACGCCAGTTCTGGTGCCTTATTGTTGTCAAAAGATCACTTTTCTCTCTCTCTTTCACCTTCATTTTCAGGCCGGATTTTAGACATCCCGTGTAAAGTGTGTGGTGACCGCAGCTCTGGCAAGCACTATGGGGTTTATGCCTGCGATGGATGCTCAGGGTTTTTCAAACGAAGCATCAGAAGGAATAGGACTTATGTCTGCAAATCTGGAAACCAGGTATTGCTTATAGCATAACCTCATCATCCCCTCCCTGCACACTTTCCTTATGGTTTGGGCAAAATAGGTTGTATAGTATAGTGGGAATTCCAGTCACCTGGGGACCTTGCCCTCTTGATTTTTCAAAATGATGTATACTTAGGTGAGTACCAAATTTCTATTAACATAGCAGAGTTTCTAGTGCGTCCAATAATATATTTGAGTATGTCAACCCAACCTATTAAGGGCATATCTACTAAATATGTCTTTCAGAGTATGAAAATTTCAAAGCAGATAGAAAAAGGAAATGTTTACGACTTCTCTCGTCCCCCTAAAATAAATTGTGGAATCAGCAAAAGTGCGATAGATTCCCCTGGAAGCTTTTAACTTAAGATCCTGTAAAAGTTGGGCTACTTTAAAGCTGCAATTCTGTGCACAATGAGCAGCAAGGAAAGTTGATGTAGTGAGTGAAATGTATAGTCCAGTGCCATTTTGATTTAGAAGCAAAGTTGGCTTGATTTGATATTGCTTACTCCAAATAAGAGCTACAGCGCAGTCTTTTGTACTGTAAAATTTCAGGCAAGGAAATATTTCAGGCAGGTTTGAAATTCACAACTTAAATAGTCTTTTTGAAATTTTGAGGAGCTGGGTGAAGATGGCTACAGCATATAGGAACCAGACATACTCCAAATAAGTCCATGGGCTTTGTAGTTGTAGAGCTAAAAGCACCAGGGTAATTCACTTCATTGACCTACCTAAGTGCTCCTGAGTAAATATCCCGAGTTGATTGACCCATTTTCCCTTTAAAAATGATTTTCTTTCCCTGGTCCTAGTTTGCCAATTCTTTAAAATATTAGGAAGGAAGGATTGATGTCCTGTGGGATATTTATTTATAAGTGTGGGGGGAGAATAGAAATCACAATTTAAGTGAAAATAGTTATCTTCTGAATTAACATGAAATGTGAGTTACTCTCATGGTGACCTTGAGGAAACTTAGAAATTGTAGCTAACGTATTGTTGCCAGGAAATAAAAATACCCCTCAGTTATTCCAGGAAAAAGTGCAGAAGCTGAATCTTCTAAAGACCTGGGGGCAGCTGTCAGGGTACTCCCATCCCAAGTTCACTGTATTTGATAATAGAGATGAGATATTTACTAAATAGATGACAAATCAACTTATTTACTCATCTAATTTTAATAGCAGTTTTTTAAAAAAATCCTAGCTTAGTATAACAAACCAATAAGGCAAGTATGACTTTTAACACAAAATGGCTTGCGTGACACAGAGAGAATCTACCTGGATAATTTTTCCCCCATTTCCATTAATGGAAAAAGTGTTTTTTAGAATGTAGTCAGCTCATAGTCATTGGAACTGTAAAATTGATCCAGTTCTTTAAATATCCCAAGGGTGTGTGTGTGTGTGTGTGAGAGAGAGAGAGAGAGAGAGAGAGAGAGAGAGAGAGAGAGAGAGAGAGAG